CACACACACACACACACACACACACACACACACACACACACACACGTACATGCAGTGTCATGGGCACACATTTCCTTCTCCACCCTGGCTCGCACTTGTTCCGGGGAACCTGCTAGCACAGAGACCTGCTTGGCCCTGCCTGCTCTTGGGTTCATACCCATCTGGCATTATTTGTACTGTTTTCCCTCCCGGTGCTTGGTGTGAATTAAAGGAAGCATGGAGATGGGGCTTCGCCCTGGGGCACCCTGCTTGAGTGGATGCCAGGAATGGGGCTACAGAGAGGGGAAGGCAGGTGAACAGCTGAGTGATACCCTGTCCCGTACACTGGAGTCTCCAAGGCGCTGTCGTTTGTGGGCCCAGTTCTGTTTATCTCATGACCACACTTCTTTTTAAATTTATGTTTTGCCTGAGTGTTTGTATGTGTGCTATGTGCATACCTGGTGCCTGAACAGGTCAGAGGAGTGTGCTCAATCTCCTGGAACTTGAGTTATGAGTGATGTGTGCCAGGAACTGAACTTGGGTCCTCTGGAAGAGTAGCCAGTGTGCCTAATTGCACAGCCATCTCTCCTGCCCCCTCTGTCACAATTCTTAACGGTCCTGCCTCACTTTGTGAGTCTGTACGTGACCTTGTTGTTTTTTGAGACAGGGTTTTATGTAGCTCAGCCTGGCCTCAAATTAACTATGTAGCCAAGGATGACCTTGGCTCCTGATCCTCCTGCATCACCTCCTGAGGGCTGGAGGTACAGGTGTGACAATTTCTCCCACTGTGTTTGAGGCTGAGGTCTGGACAGGTAAGGCGGGCCTGAAGCCTTGACCTTAAAACAAAAACAAACAAACAAACAAACAACTGAATGAATGAATGAATTTAGTTTTGCATGGCTGTGGGTATGGGCAGGCGGGTACCCTGGTGTGCTCCTGGAGAAAAAAGGACTGTGGAATTGGGTGGGGCTTGAGGTGCGGCTGGGTGGAGCATTTCTGTCTTTGCTTTTTTGACCCGCTTATGTAGGAGAAGATGAGTGAGTGACAACTTGTATTCAATCTTTGGTTCAACAAACATTTATGCTTGGAGCAATGCCATTCTTAGGGACTTAGTCTACTAGGCCCTCTCCAAGCCTGTGGTTCACTGGCTTGTCACAAATCATGTGGAGTGGCCTAGTAGACTGGTTATGTTCCTTGCATTTATTTGCTTTTGTGGGTGGGTTCATGTGTGCCACCAAATCCACTGTGTGCAAGTATAGGTCAGAGGACAGCTTGTGGGAGACGGATCTCTCCTTCCACCTTGGAGGTCTTGGGGACTGAACTAGGTCACCATGCTTGGTAGCAACCTCCTTTACCTGCTGAGCCATCTTGCTGGCCCTGGGTCCCTGAAAGTCCCTCTCCTTCTTGTGTGCTGGGATTGTACCAGGCCTATACTCTTGCTGTAGGTGCCTCAGGCTTGAGGAGAGGGCTCAGAGAGAACACAGTTCTGATTATGAAACATGTGGAACCCACACCGGCTTCTCCCAGACTCTTACAGGGCATTATGGCAGTAACCTGGGGCCATGGAGGTAGAGAGGTCATATCTGACATGCCTACCAGATTTGAAGGGCTGCAGGTACAGGTAGGAGGTCTGGATTTGACTCAGCCTTGTTCAGCTGCAGACCCTGTCCCCAGAGTGTGTGCCTGGTGTGTGACTGGCAGGACTCGATGGGGCTGGATGGAAGAGTCAGTGAGAACTTGAGGTGTCTCAGAAGAGTCTGTGAGTCCGGATGAGGTCTGGGAACACAAACAGCTTCAGATATGTTGTCATACTTGTATATAATCCCAGTTGAGGCGGGAAAGCTGAGTGTCCCAGGCCATACTGCACCACACAGTGAGATCCTGCCTTAAAACAAAAGCAAAAAACCAAAACAGTAGTGGGTGGGGCTGGGCAGGTGGCTCAGTGGGTAAAGCACCTGCTTTGAAAACATGAGGAGGGTGGGAGTGAACCTATTTTTACCTCAGAAATATGGCTTTTAGCAGAAGTTTCCAAAAGTGTGTTACATAGTCACCCTATTGAGGTTTCTTAGCAAGACTACCTGATAGGTACATACAATTTAAATCAAAAACAGATATTAGCTACTTTGAAAGTTTCACTCCTGCAAAAATTATCCAGTGTCCGTGAGTTCTATGGTCATGGTTTGCTTCTTGCTGATGTTTTACAGATTCTTCTCTGAAAATTCAGTTTAAAATGGATTTCAGGATTTCTTATTCAGAACACGGACGCTCTCCTTGTGAGTCACTGAGATGGAGCTCTGTATAGAGCATCTACAGCATGCAAAAGGCCCAGGTTTCAATTCCCAGTATGGTTTATTTTTATTTACTTAAGATTTCTGTCCTGAAAAAACTATTTTGACTGGACATAGCCTATTTAAAAGGAAATAAAGTTTGAGTCGGGTGTAGTGGCGCACCCTTTATTCCCAATACCCGGGAGGCAGAGGCAGGTGGATCTCTGGGTTTGAGGCCAGCCTGGTCTACATGGTGAATTCAGAGAGTTCAGGACAGCCAGGGCTACATAGAGTCTTGAAAAGTCAAAAACAAACAAACAAACAACAAGCAAAAAAAAAAACCCAAACAAACAAAAGTTTGAGAGTAAAACCCCATGCATCTTCTTTTATCTTGTTTATTTATTTTTTTGAGACAGAGTCTCCTGTAGCCCAGGCTGGGATTGAACTTGGCATATAGCCAAGGATGAACCCGGATCTCCTCAAGTCTCTCCTCTCCTCCTGTCAAGAGCTGGGATGTCAGGCCAATGTCACCACACCTGGCTCTTCCTGGTTTTCAAATGGAATTCAAACAAATCTGGAGCCTATGTTTTTTTCTAGTTGGTCAAGAGAGATGTCCTTACAGCTGGGTCTTGGGGGTGGAGTGTGAGTCTGTCATCTCAGCACTTGGGAGGCAAAGCAGGACAGATTATAAATGTGAGGCCAGCCGGGGCTATATATGGCAAGATCCTATCTCAAAAACAAATCAAAAGACCGAAGAAAAAGAGAGTGAGAAAGGCGGTCCTCTTATGACCTCCTAATGGCCCTCTCCCCATGATAAGGTAGCCATTCCTGACTTGTGTCTGTGGGTAACCCCCAAGGGGACAGCCCACGGAGGAGTGCTATAATAAAGGGTGAGGGTGGGCCTTTGGCACTGTATCTCAGGGCATGGACCAGGGACAGTCATGTCCTCCAGGGTTGTTTGTCTGTCTGTGAGGGCTGTTGGCATGGTGAAGACTTCATTGTCTCTTGCAAGATGTGGGTGATTGAAGGGAAGCAAGATGGGCAGGGAAGCCCCACAAATGTTTGGACCCACAGCATTGGTAGGAAAGGCAGTGCCGAAAGTCAGGGGGAGAGAGGATGTGAGAGATCAGGAAGCCAGGGTGGCCCGGGGCTGGGAGAGCAGGGAGGCCGGGGGCTGGGAGGGCAGGGGGCCGGGGGGCCGGGAGGGCAGGGTGGCCCGGGGGCTGGGAGGGCTGAAATCACCTTGTCTTTTACCTTGGGGAACGTAAAGGTTAAAGGGAAAGACAAAGTGAACAGGTAAAAAATGTTCATTTATAAGAAAATACAGGGAGGGGTTGAAGAAGGCTTGCTGACTGAGAGCACTGGCTGCTCTTGCAGAGGACTTGAGTTCTCTTCTTAGCCCTCACTTGGCTGCTCACAACCATTTGTAAAAACAGTTCCAAGGGATCCGAAGCTGTCTTCTGGCCTTTGCAGGTACTGCATACACATGGAACACAGGCATATATGTAGACAAAACACCAGTACATATAAAATAACAATACAGAAAGCAGCAGGAAGGCAATACCCCAGACTAAGAATTAAGCACACACCACATGTTTTAGGTTAGGTTCACAGAGGTATAATTACATATAATATCATTCATCATCTATGTATGCAGTTTTTTGTTTTGTTTTGTTCTGAGACAGGGTTTCTCTACATTGCTCTAGCTGTTCTAGAACTCACTATGTAGGCAGGCTGGCCTCAAACTCACAGAGATCCACCTGCCTCTGCCTCATGAGTGCTGGGATTAAAGGTGTGGGCTAGCATGCCCTACCTATGTTCAGTTTGATGGGATGATTTTTGGTGTTTTCAATTGTGGGACGCAATCCCAGGGCCTCACACATCCTAAGCAATCTCAGGGCCTCACTGAGCTACAGCCCCAGGCCAGTTTGATGAAGGGTTTTTGTTGTTGTTGTTGTGTTTTTTAGATTTGATTTATGGATATGAATGCTTTGCCTGTATGTGTGTATGTGTACCAGGTATGTTTCGTGCCAATGGAGTATAGAAGAAGGCCTTGGATTCTGTGGTGGTTTGAAAGAAAATGGCCCCCAAAGGGAATGGCATGATTAGCAAGTGCGGCGTTGTTGGAGTGTGTCACTGTGGGGTGGGCTTTGGAGTCTCCTTTGCTCAAGCTGCACTCAGTGTGTCACTGAGCCTACTTCAGCTTGTCTTGGGGTGAAGATGTAGCCAGCACCATGCCTGCTGCACACCCACCATGTCCCACCATGGCAGTAATGGACTGATCCTCTGAAACTGTAAGCTGCCACCTCAGGGAAGTGTTTTCCTCGTAAGAGTTGCCGTGGTCATGGTGTCCCTTCACAACAACTGGAACCCTAACGAAGAACAGATCCCATAGACCTGGAATTACGGATGGTTGTGAGTCACCCTGTAGGTGCTGGGAATTGAACTTGGGTTCTTTGCAAGGGCAGCAAATGTTCTTAATTGCTTTTTTGTTTTTGAAACAGGGTTTCTCTGTGGCTTTGGAGGCTGTCCTGGAACTTGCTCTGTAGACCAGGCTCTTAATTGCTGAATCATCTCTCCAACCCATTTTGATGAGTTTTTTTTTTTTTTTTTTTTTTTTTTTTTTTTTTTTTTTTTAAA